GTGTGGTGGTGAGCGCGCTAAACTCAAATAACAAAAGTGAGTTTTTATTGCTAGCAGTATCATTTCAAGATTCATACTGTATTAAATATTAGGAAAAAGAACAGGCTACTACCCTTTCCGGTGGCTAACGCGGTCACCACCACACCATGCGCGTCCTTCGTTTCGCTTTTCTCTCAGTTAGCTTTCTACTATATATTTCTATTTCTATTGAGGTAATAGATAGATAGATAGTAGATAATTGAGTGAGCCGTAATCTTCAAAACGACCAGCAGCAACGTTGCAAGTAACAAATAATTTTTGCTAAATGTATGAAATGTGTGGGTAAATTTCGTGATTAAGAAAATAGCCGTTTCATTCGTGTTGTCCTGATATGAAGACATTTCGTTCCGTTGGAGCTGGTATGTGCGAGTGAAGAAGTGGATACGACGAATTTCCTTCCTTTTATAAATAAAACAATACGATGGGGTAGATGTTAAAAAATAGGACACTGAATAAAAGCCATATTTTTTAGTCTGTTTTATCCTAAAGAATGGATAACCGTTTTGGTGTCAAGTCGCAAACTATAACCTAACTGGGTAACCTGAGTAATAATAACGCATTCGTTCCCCACCGTAGACACCTGCGGTCCGGAGTCTTGCAAATATCTCAGCACCACTGTGGGTATAGCCTGACTTTTGCTCAATCTACTTTCATTTCATTAGCAATCATGCGTTGACATATTGTCATGTTGTTCGCTCTGCCCTTCCTGCAATTTCGTTTCGTTAATTGCAAAGGAAAAGGGCATATTTGAGTTTAAAGTGTTGTTTTTGTTCAAATTCAGCGAAGTTTTTGCATTTCTTTGACAGCTTTTTGCCCACTTATTTTTCTTTGTTTTGAAGATGACATTAGTGAAAATTGCAGACCACAAAAGGCCAAACGTTAACTGAAAAAAAGGTTATAGAATATACAGTTTCTGATGAGAAACAGAAGTATCCCCCACAGTGTGAACTTCGCTTGATTGAAGACCACAGAAAGTTCACAAGTCGATGTTATGTAGTTGGGTTGGGTCATCGCCATCGCAACTTCATCGCTCAACCAGACACAATTTTATTTCATAGTCATTCACTTCAGGAAATATTTATGGTCACACTTGAATAACATGACGATCAAAATATTCTAGGAAGGTGGATGAAGCGAGGCATTGTCGAATATGGCTCTTTCTTACCGTTTCCAATTAATCGTCATCAAAATCGAAAAGAAATATAATATTGAATTAAAATTTGGGCGTTGGTTAATGTGCCTTCTTTTATTGATAAGCCAAAACGAGGTTGTTACCTAACATCTATTCGTCTAACGTCTCGACGTGATCGTCTACCTCAGAGCCGATGATTCGACTACATGGTCCACAGTCGTTTGATCGCACGACGTAGTGTTTTCATCGTCGTATGGAGTCAAATCTTCTTCAGTAACGATAACTCTAGCGGCAACAAGGTCCCGTTTATACTGCCCTTCATTTCAAATGAGGTAAGTGCAGCTATAAAACGCTGTTTAAGAAGGGCCAGTCTAGTGAATTCGGTAACGATAATCGAAATACCACCGAGTAATCTAAGGCGCCAGCTAGTTCGTAACCGCCTATACGACCGTCTATGTGCAACCTAAAATTGCATAATTTGCTCCAATGGTAGAGACGGCGACTTCATGAGTTCGGGTACAGTCTATCTGATCTCTTCTAAAGCGTGCGGGGACGAATACGTTGGCGAAACGGGTGGACCACTCTGCGTACGTATAAAAGAACACCTAGTCGGCAAACGTAAGCCAAGTACTCCACTACGAACGCATAGGACGCAAAGACATAACGGAGAAGATTTTGAAGTAAGGGTTACGATCCTCGCGCAAGAATCGAGAACACAAGCGCGCAAAACTCTAGACGGGTTCTGGATTAATTCCAGAAATCCGGAAATGAACCTTAGGAAAGAATGCCTCATTATCACGCGTGATATAGGGCAGTATATATGACTGTTATTCTGATGGGAGGAGCACATTATGCTTCCATGTGGTTTTTGTGCGGTTGGTCTCTACGTGACATACTTAGTGGAAACCCCATAGAAAGCGGTGAGTGTGCAAAGCTGTGTTCAATGTGATTGAAATTTTGGTTTAGCGTTTTCTCTGTTTGGTTATGGAGGTGTTTGGCCGAGTGGATTGCTGTCAACTTAACCCTTCCAGGCTCTGAGGAAGGCGAAATCCGCCGGAACGTCAGCTTGTGCGTGAATAAGGAAATAAAATAGCACCTCGTGTTTGCTGAATAGAAGTAGAAAGAATTATTTAAAATTTGTGTTTAATAGATGTCAGCTGAGCACTGAAGGAGTCCAGACCGCATTTCCACTTTTATGAAGGAGTTACTCGAAAAATAAAGGATGAACCGAAATTATATTGCAGCCCACCTCACATGGATAAATGTGTTAAATTACTGTAATGAAGATGTTTGCTGAGAAACCTAGAAAAATGTGTACAAAAGGAAAAATGACCAGAGAAAGTCCGACTTCAGTAATTTTCGCTCCTTCATCTTCTCGAAGCTGTTGTCTACCTTGTCTGTGAAGTGCTTCTTGTAAGCCCTACATTAAGAAAACTCGAATGGGAACGTTGTAAACTGTGGAGATCTTTGCAGGCATTCCGTTATATGTATCCATGCAAACCACACGTATGCTGTTTGAATAGGTTTTATTTCAATTAACTTGGTTTAGTATGAGTTGAGATATGTTTCTTCAGAATGCCTGCTTTACCCGAGATTGGTGCAAAACTTCATATTGGTAACGTTTCTATGGCTTCCTCTCTACTGAAGCTAGATTGTGCCGATACGATTTCCTATATGCATTCGTTTTCGCGACGTGGGTCTTCTTCGTTACACCCACCTGATTCTTTTGAAGCTGAGCACTCCTTGCAAGAAATAACGTCACTCGACGACGCCTCATATCGCGAGGACGAATGCTTGTGGACAACCGACTAATATCAATCCCCTTCATCGAGAAAGATGAAGACATCAAAACACTAGCCGAATAAGATTTTGTACAAACATCGTAAAAGGTGAACAATCTAAAGAATTGTTTAGATCATTAACGCCAAGGTTAACTGAAAGTCGAGCTAGATAGATGAGGTATGTATGTTTAAAGTTGAAGGACGCAATTTTTCAGCCACTTACGATAGTCATCCACTAGGTGTTAACTTCATATCCGCGATCACCCTTACTAGCAGATCACGTGTTACGCTGCACCAACCGAGGCCCTTGCTTCTCCTTTCTCCCAGATGTGCTACGATTTTTACTCACATTTCAGCACGCAGTGGTTGGATTTCACATCTGTTCTACAACGTTGAACGATTGAATTCACTGTACACAACTGACCTCCCGCTAACTAAGAGCTATTTTTTATCTCCACAACTTCTTCCTGAGAAAACGTTACACGACTAAACCGTTGCAAAAATTATCCTCGAAGGGTTCGTCGTTTTCAGATAACCAGAATTTTAAATTGCCGAAATGAATAAACCTATATTGTTGAGAAATCGTAGTAATTCTAATAGCTCCCATATTTATTCATAAAGTTGCGCTTGAATTAAGTTGTAGTTTTTGAAAGCTACGGTGGAAAACTGTAACTATTTTTAAATCAGGAATACAGCACGAAGTAAAGGAAGTTGAACGAAACGGAAGAGAGTACGTGATTAGGAATAAATCTGAAGAAATCTAGTTCATGGATACAACCTAATTTTAAAAATTGTCTAGCACATTCACGACATGTGGACGATTTTGTTCATTTGTATAGTATCCTCTCCCAACGGTTTACCTTCCCGTTGTGGCTGCGAGATGTTCCTGAGTGCCGAGCTGCGATGTACAGTAGGGGATTCCCAAGCTGAAAAGGAGTCGCGCGTTTCCATCAGGAACCCCAGCTAAGAGTGAGCCAGTGCCAGGATCCGTCACCGTCTGGTTTCGAACTAGTCGCGTGGTGGCAAATTTCCCTTTGATCCACAAAGGTGGTGGCTGCCTGTGGTGGTGACGACCTGGAGCAGACTTCGGCCTGGCTGACCTGGGGACTCCAGGTAACCACGGTGGCTAAACCAGCAAATTTCCTAAAAATGAAGATTATGCTGGGGCCCACACAATCAGTGAGGACGGGTCATCGAATTGTCCAGGTAAGTAGGTACAGTGTCCGTTACTTGCGGTACAAACAGTGCACTACTTATTTTGCTGTTGCTTATGAAGACTCTATTAAGATATCTCTGTTTTAGGAGTATTCTGGACGCTATAAATTAGATTGAAAGGACTGCACATGTTATTATTATAGGTTATTACATGGTAGTTGAAGAAGAATTGAAAAGCAAACTACCTCTTATGTGCTTCGAAGCCAACTAATTGCAGGAATTTATAAATTAAAATTCGTATTTACGCAAACACATCTATGATCAGTGTGCCTACGGTTGGCCGGGAACTATAAGGCAATCCGGCTTAAAGGAGAAGGATAGCCCATCTTCTGAATCCATCTGGGCCGTATCTCTTTAAAATAGGGTTTTTCATTAGATCAACTTGGCTGCCAACAAAACAATGAAGAAGATGTAACGTAAAAGGTGTAGTGTTCATAGTCTTTCTTGAGAGGTCACACTCTTTTGAATAACTTTGGACCATTATGCTGAAAATGTAGAGTTTTCCGATATCTGTTCGAATCGATAATAAAATCATCGTCTGCAGGTGAAAGCCATTAAAGATGCTTTGGAATAGTTTATTTCCTATTTTTCTTGGAAAGTGTTCTCAAGCGTTCCATGGCTTTAAATTTCCCCTTTTTCAAGCACTCTACGTTCTATTCATGCTTTCGCTTTAGACGAGGAAGGAATATCAAAGAGATTATTTGAGAGTGCTCTCTATAGACGTGATTATCTCGAACTCATCTCGGCTCTCCATGGTAACCACCAAGTATAAGAGTGCAATAGTTATGACACCATCTACTTGACTATCAGAGAATCAGCTTTTTCTTTGACAGATGACATCCGTACCGACATTGGTGGTTCCTGTTCAGGTAAGATACAATATGACATCGCACAATTTATGAACTAAAGCATGATTATAGGCAAAATTAATTTTGTTAATGTGGATTAGTGCCCTCAGTGTTGACCAATCCCTGAGGAATGCGCCATGCATTTGATTCGATCAGTTACTGCAGAGGTGATCGTAGACAAATCTTTTCTACACAATAATTGTAGTAGCTTGCCGATGTCTCCAGTCAGTGTTTTTATCCTCCTATACAAGTTTGGTATAAATCTGTCGGTGCCTTCAGAATGGAAAGTTTGTTGGGTCCGGGACGCCAGATAGATCCGCCGACAATCCCACTATGTTTTGTAGAGCATCTCCAACCACTTTATTAACATAGATTAGTGCCCTTGGTGTTGAGTGACCAGCGCCTTCCGCTACGGGGTCACCTGTATCACCCGTAATCCCTTTGATGATCGAGTGACTCGAACGGGTGCCGTTATATCTTCCATTTTTCCTTATCGCGTGCAAAAGCAGCCCAGGGGATTCCGCTCGCTCGGGCGTTCTTTGTTCTCTTCACTACAACCCCGATGCTCTTGAAAGCTCCCCAAGCCGCTCGTTTCCTCCTGCTCAGCTCTGGAGCTAGGTGGTCCATCATACCGATTTCCCGACCTAGATAGATATAACTGGAGCATTCAGAGGTATTCGTTCCGTTGAGCGTGAATGAGGCATACGAAGCCAATCCGTTTTTCATGAACATCGTTTTTGTGAGACTTAGTCGATGACCAATCCTTCCACAGGCTTTATCAAAGTCGTCAAGCGTACGTTCCGCTTGGCTAATGTTTGCTGTTATAAGGACAATGTCATCAGCTAAGCGAAGATGGTTTAACTGCCGACCATCGATTTTCACTCCCATATTATCCCATTTCAATGTTCACATGACGTTTTGGAGGATGGTGGTAAATAATTTTGGCGAGACTGTATCGTCTTGCCTAACTCCTCTTTTGACGTTAATGTTAATATCGTTATAGAATGGTGAAAACTTGGTTGTGAAATTTTTGTACACTTCACGAAGAATCTTTATGTACTGAGCAGGGAGTCCTTGACTATCAAGAGCTTCCATGACTGCTTCTATCTCAATTGAATCAAAGGCCTTCTGTAAATCGATGAAAGGGGGACAGAGCGGTCTTTTGTACCCTCGCGATACTTCGATGAGCCTTGTTGTCGTGTGGATGTGGTCCATTATACTAAATCCTCTTCGAAATCCTGCTTACTCACATGGCTGTCCTTCGTCTAGTGTTCTGTCAGTCCTGTTCAGGATGACTCGAGTGAAAAGTTTGTAGACGACAGACAGTAAGCAGATTGGGCGATAGTTGCCGATATCGTGCAGGTCAACCCTCTTGAACAATAACACGGTCTTGCTGGTCTTCCACTGAGTAGGGACCTTGCATTCAGACAGGTAACGTGTAAAGGGCCAAACCAGTGTGTTTACGAAGACTGGCGGAAGGTTCTCAAGGTGTTCAGATCTTATCCTCTATAGAATTGGTGCCGTTCGAATTTTCACCGACGAAATGGCATGTCGGATTTCAGAAGGGAGAACAGGTGGTACAACATATCCATCCTCCTTTATTTCATATGACGAAAGGTGGACGCGGTTATCCAAGAGATCTGAGTAATATTCGTGAATGATTTTCTCCATTACCTTTGTGGACGCTGCAACTCCTCCGTCTGGGCGTCTGTGTGCAATCATCTCGGTCTTGTAATTGGCGAAGCTTCGGTGAGCTTCGCGAATGCTTTGCCTAGCCTCTGCAACTCCGACCATTACTGCTGCTCTTCTCTCTTTAAAATTTTTTTTAATCGCCTGTCTGCATTGTTTTGCAAGTTCGGACGTTAGTTCGCGCTTGCCTGCAGCTAGCACGATTCCACACTGGAGTATTAGCTCGAGTGTTTCTGGAGACAAACGTCTCTTGGTGACCTTCGAACTCTCGACTTTAATAGCGCCAACGTGAAGATGTTGAATGAGCCGATCATATTCATAGTCAATGTTATCAACAACCGCATCTTCCCAACAGCCAACTAATGGATTGAATAAATCCCAGTTTGCGGTGGTTCTGAGACTTCGGTTTTGGAATTTAGCGGCTTTTTCTCCTTTCCGGGAGAAATAGAATTTAGCACGAAGGAGACGGTATTCTGATCCCGTGTAGAATTTTGGGACAACAGCGACATCGGTTAGGCACAACCTTCTATTTACTGTGATGTGGTCTATTTCGTTCTCCATTGGGAGCGTGTGGTGCAATGACCAGAGGCGCTTTGCGACACACACACGGGATCGATCCCCCCTCCCGTCGTTCACCAAGTCTTCCATCCCTCCGGCAAATTGATACCAGACTTGTCTGTGAGGATAGCAACACTGGCTAAATTCATTCGTAGTACACCAAGAGTCATTGTAATGACCAGATATGCACTCAATCATCTCCAACGATGCTTAATGAAGTGAATGCACAGCGCACCCTCAGGGATTGATTAACGCCGACAGCTTTATCCTTTTGTCATCATTTCGTAAGAGCATTGACATAATTGTATTCATTCTGACTTATTGGGTTCTGTCTTTTATATACTTCAAGATGGTTATTTCAGCATCGATCACGTGCCAGGAGTTCACTGTCAACCCTGAGCGATATCGATATTGAAAACCAGTTCGACAAATGGAAGACCTTTCAGCCAACCGTCGTGTAAGCTACTAACGATTGCACAATTTTCAGCTAAATTTACTGGGGTTTGTAAATTCTGAGCACTTAGGACTATTTAGATTTCAAAAATAGACCATCGATACATATGTCAATAATCAACTATTTTGTGACACTGGTATCCACTAGATAAGCTTAACGCAGTGAAATATGTGTGGCAATGTCCAAATATGTCGCGAGCCAAAGCTTTTTAGGTGCGATCCTCTCGTTGAGGGGTCAGAAAGGGAATCATACTTCTTGAACAAGGCTCTTTATTCCTAGTTTTGGCGACAAGGTAAAATACTGCAGCCGGAAGCTCTGCCATTGCATAGGTCTTTGAACTTTCAGTTTGAAATTTCGACCTTCTCAGATTGACAAATGATAAAAATTCGATGCTTCCCGTTAGTATTCGGCATTACTTGATTTATAAATTGGTCAATAGCACGCCTCATTCACTCTTTACTGGCTGTTCCATATTTCTCCTTCTACTTCTGTTCATCTAACTTCCTCTTGTCCTCTTTTTCCCCTTCACAATATCTTCTTGCAGATACGATGTGAGCGTTAACCAGAAAGGCTGTATTTACTGGTACTGGTCGTGCATCGTGTCGATCGCTATTTTCTACAATCTGATATTCATCACGTTGGTCGTTTTCGACGATATTCGAGATAAATCTGATGCTCAGTTCCTCGTTGGAAACATCGTTTGCGATGTGATCTATTTCGTAGACATATGGTTTCAAACAAGAATATGTAAGATTCAATCGTTTCACATAAATATAGTATCATCCTCAATATTCGCTACAGAAACCTGCTTATATTCCGTCCACCATAATTTCTAGCCAATGGAGAATTTTTCCTCTTCATTAAAGCCAATAAAGAGCTAAATTTTTTCCCCAATTGTTAACACGGGTTCGTCTTGTTGCATCATAGTCCTCCATGGTCCGCATCTGAACGTCTTTAAAGAGTTTAGTTCCGCCAAGCAGAAAATTCCTCTCCGATTCGAAACTGTGATGGGTGATAGGTAAAGAATCGTCTGAAAAAAATGCGGGGGTCTCGAGACGCCAAGAGTCCAGAATAGCGTTGTAGGTTGAAATTTGGTAGAACTAAGGCGCCGATGTGTACTTACAACTCACTAACAATATCATCTAAAATTTTTATTTTGGGGTTGATGATGAAGAATAAAAAGATTATTTGGACATAATAGGAGTGGTTGAGACGAGAAGACTCTATACTTTGGTTGTTGTCCGTAATACTCTAGAAAAAGCTGTTCCTCGGTACATTTAAGTAGCAGGGTGGATGAAGCCTGCTCTTTCCCTTCACAAATTTGATAGTCATTGTCGGCTTCTTCGAATTACCAACAAATGAGTCGTCTGGTTGGGCTTGAAAACTGAAGGAAAATGTCCACTTTGACAATTTCATCATCTACTGTTTTCTGTCAAGCTATGGAAAAGACGAAGGCGAAGCATTCTATGTGAACTTTAAGAATTTCTGAAGGGAGGATTCTCAACTTCATAAGATCACCAATGGCAATTAGATGTATCCGACGAAAGGTCGGTGACACTTCAGTGTTTACAAAGAGATGGAAACTATGGTGGGTCAAAGGCGTGTGTGTTCAGCGGGATTTTGTGCTTTGAGTTCAAGTTACGCGTGAGATTTAATGCACGTGACGTTGAGAAGACGCCCAGTTTGGCTAATGTCACCATTGATCAACCCCTCAACTCGATGATGTATCTCAAAATTAAATTAGATGCTCTACATCCTGAGCGCTATCTGTCTTTGCTGGTCAACATATTTGAATTTCTACTGCTTCACATTTAGCATTCTGAGGACGAAATGTAATTGGCAAGATCGTTTGGCTAACTCTGGTACGAGAAAAATGCACTCCTCTCGCCTTAACTCACTAGTGGCGAGGACTTGCAGTGTGCTCTCGAATAAAAATGTACAGTACATAACCACGCCGTGGACACAGCCCTCAAAGCTATGGCTTGTTCCAGGATCACTTACTTGACAACGAGTTCAACGGATACAATTGCATTCTTGTTTAGTTCTTTGAGTCTTTGGGATAGTGGGTTGCAGGACCTAGTTCTTTTAGTGATAAATAATATATTAGTGAGTAAAGTTGCTCCTTCATAAGCAAAACTAAGGATGAAAAATGCGGTAAAAATCAGCAAGGACCTAGGCTCGAGCCTATAATGTCTGCATTCCGAAACTGTGGTAAAGCTAAGAGAAAATGTTATCTGCACTTGTAAAGTGGTGTAAAAACCCTCTTTAATCATTACTCTGTCAGACAATTTCATTGGATTCTTTACCTCACACATTTCATAACATTATGGTAAAAAAATTTATAAGGATTCTACTACCAACGTTTAATTTACGACAGTAATATGTTTGATTGTTTACATAAGGCGTGTGTGGCGCAGTGGTCGAAGGCGCCCTGCAACACGCACGTAGGATCGATCCCCGCGCCCACGGCTCACCAAGCCTTCCATCCATTCAGTGTCGGCAAATTGGCACAAGACTTGTCTGGGAGGATAGCAGAACTGGCCCGATACAACGGTAGGCCACTGTGAGTCATTATGCATTCAATGACCTCCAATCGATACTTAGTGAAGTCGAGTGCATGGGCATCCCTCAGCGACTGATCAACGCCGAGAGCTTTACCCTTTTTTTTATTAATATGTTTGTAGTGAAATTATTTCTTCCGTTAACTTTATGTTACCTCCTCCAAAGTTATGAAACAATTTTGATTTTCAGCTTTCTATGAAGATGGATGTAAAGTTGTAGATATTTCGGCCACCTGCAATAATTATTTCTCAAAGCAAGTTTCCCTTTCTCTTAGATACATTCCTTTTTTGGACCCTTACATAATGGTATTTTTTGCAGGAAACGTTGTTTCATAGACGTCCTCTCAACACTTCCAACTGATTTGTTTCTGTTGTTTCGGTATAACTCCTCGCTGATCAGGTAGGAACTAAACCATTCTACGATAGAAGCAACATCCCACACCTAAAACATGTGCAATCGATTCGATGCCTTGTTTCGGCTGAGTAATTCTGTCAGTTCGACTTCGAAGGCTGCTTTGGATATCATTGTTCAGTAGTAACATATCCCTTAACAGTGAATGAAGCAACCGCTCTTGAATTTTTGACCTTTAGAACACTAAGGTGCTTTCCAAGCAGATTTCGACCACTTCGTAGTTTGTGACATTGTAGCTATACGGGGTTCTTCGTCGACATTTGATATCTAGTTCTGAGAAACTCACTAACCTTGAAAACAGCCCAAGTAAATTTTAATCACTGATAATTTGGTTTGATAGTTAACAATATTATATCATAACGAGTGAGTAAAAAGAGTAACTATTGAATGAAAATGAAAACTACAGGGTGAATCGCTTGCTGAAGTGCTATCGCCTAATCGAAATTTTTGAACTTGCCCAAGGGAGATTCAGACAGGTAGGAATGTCATGAGAACTTTTCAAGTGTACAAATAACATTTTCTTCCATAGCTAAACTGTGGTATGAATTGCAATTTCGGCCAAACGAATTATTTTGAATGTCCCTTCAGAGGTTAAAATATACATCATGCATATCTGGTTAATAATGCTCATAAAGAATTTACTACATAGAATTTATTCCTTTCGAGAGTTGATATATTTATATGCAGTACTTTCTTTCTTCGTTGGGAGGGGATGACGCGCCTCCGCACAGACCACAAGGACCGGGTTTGTAGCACAGTGATTAGAGGTGCCTCGCAATATAAACGTGGTCGTTTGTTCGATTCCCTGTTTCGGTCCCCAATAATCACATCCACCTGGAGTTGGAGAATTCGTCCTAAGCATATTTGATAGGATCGCAGCAGAAACTTGATACACGGATGAGCCACCAGAAATGGAATTTATGAGTCAGATATGCATTTAATCACCTCTGCCGTGCTTGCTGAAGTTGATTACATAGTGTCTCTTAGGGATTGATTAACACCCAAAGCTTTAATCCTCTATTTCCATGAACTCGTTCAATGCCGCAAAAGTTATTTTGCCTTTGCGTTCTATTTTAATCGATAAGAAGATACTTTTTTGAAGTTATTTTAAGCAAGATATATTTCAGAGTGTTATTTCACTAGTAAGAATAATAATCAGCTGTACGTTGATCTTTCACTGGAACGCCTGTGTTTTCTTTATCATCAGCAGTTTTAGTAACACTAAATCATTTAATGGTAGGTTGTTTGATGTGACAGCTCCATAATTTTGATATAATTTCAATTACATAAGCTGCGACCTGGTCGCAAAACTTGGGTATGAAAACTTTGGATTCTTTTTGCGTGTTGAAAGAAGGTTTTCTTTCTACTCCTGCTTTAAACTTCTTCATTTTGATTCTTGTGATGGGACCATTTCAAATTTTATGTTTGCAAGATTTCAGCTCTAAAATTTGCAGAGATGCGAAACGAAAAGGACCCTCATAGTGTGGTGGTAAACGTGTTAGCCCTCGGAAAAGGTAGTAGTGCGTTCGTTCCCTACGTAAGATACCTGTGGTCTGGAGTTTTGCAAATATCTCCGCATCATTGTAGTTGAATAAAGACATAATCTCGGCGAAAATAATCAGCACACTTCTCAATGCTATTTTGCAACAATCTAGTATAGGATGAATAATCGAGAAAATGTGGCAGACCGGACTTTATAGAAGTGAACGCCACTTTCGATGATGATGACACTTGGCCTTGGCCATATATGCCCGAAAAAATCACAAACGTTCATTTACCTAAGTGCTCTCACTTCGAGGTAGGTGTAGATCCTTTTACGGATACCAATCATCTTTCTTGTTTTCATTTCTTCATCTATCTTTCTATCCTTCTTTAAAGCACTATGCTTACATCCTTATACTCCGAACATTTTCATCGTGTCTTATGAATTGTTCACCACTTTAGCATGCCTGCTATAATCAGCAGATATTTTTGGATGAGAAACGCGAAACGCATCTTCTCGACCTATGGCAGTATTGGCAGAATAGGTTTGTATTTGTTATTTTGACTTCTTTTCTTTTGTGATGAATTTGAACCTGATGTAGCAATACTGCGGGGTTTTTCATTCATCTTGCAGAACAATCAAAATCGAATTCTCTCCATTTACAAAGTCCTACGTCCTTTCTATGTACTGGTCAGCGTTGACCATAACCACACTTGGCGAGCAGGTTAGACCTAAGCACAACAAATTACTTTAAAGTTATTATAGATTATAAGAAGAATAGAATTAGAAGATTAGCGCTTCTAAATATTTTTTTATAAATGTCCCATCGTTGGCGATCGAGCTTACTTGTGTTTGCCTGAATCGAAATCGTTTTCGAAAACGGTCTGAATACCCTCGAAAAATTGACCATAACTGTTATGCACTCTTAACCTTTTTATTTACTACCTTTTTTTTTAATGGCAGGGTATGCTGCGAAATATAACTCGTATGTAATGCTAAGATATTTGCAAAACTCCAGACCGCAGGTGTACGCGGTGGGTAACAAACACGCACTGTTGTCCTTACCGGGGAGCAGCACACTTCACCACCACACCACCCGGGTCCTTCGTTTTGCCCGTCTGTCAGCTAGTTCTATTGATCTTTTGCCATCAGCAATCACCCGTCAACGGGATTGATCTAGGGAGCCCAAATCGGCATTGAACCCAGTTAAGCTGAGGCTTAGTTAAAATCACAATCTTAACCCTTTCTTTTACTGCCTTTTTTTTCTTTTTAATGGCAAGGTATGTTGCGAAATATAACTCGTATGTAATGCTGAGATATTTGCAAAACTCCGGACCTTGTATGCGGTGAGAAACGAACGCGCTATTGTCCTTTCCGGATCGGGTATTATCCTTTTAACGGACTTAAAAAAGGTATGCACTAAATAATAAATTAAAATTGTGATTATAACTGCGGCCTCAGCTTAACTGGGTTCGTTGCCGATTTGGGCCCCCCAGATCAATCCCACTGACGGGTGATTGTTGATGGAAAAAGATCGATAGAACTAGCTGAGAGACAGGCAAAACGAAGGACCCGGGTAGTGTGGTGGTGAAGTGCGCTGCTCCTCGGTAAGGACAACATCACGTGTTCGTTTCCCACAGCGTACACCTGCGGTCCGGAGTTTTGGAAATATCTCAGCATTACATACGTGTTATGCACTCTATTTGAAAAGTACTTTGCTGTCATCAAATTTGTGGGAACCTTTGAGAATGAAGAAAAACAACCCGCCGATTTAAAAAAGTGTCTTTCATTAAATCTTGGTAACGACAATCAGTAATTTACTACATCATTTGATCTGATATGACGGTGGTATAGAACTTTCATTCGGCCATACTGTTTTTAAGATATCTCCACGCTACGTTCAAGCAAATAAGTTACCGACTGTTACTGGTTACAATGCCCGTCCAAAGTAGATCATGTTGGGTTGCGAGAATCATCCAATAGTCGTCCTATATAAGAAAGCACCGTCGAGTAAAGTTTCCCATTCGAGCGGTGCTCTCTCCATTTTTATTTGACTTGATGCAACATCGAACATCCACATTGCGACAAAGACCAGCTGTAGACCATCGACTCGGATCAATGCGGCTCTGAGGAAGATGAAAGAACCAAGAGTTAGGGTCTTATATCAACATTGTATTAGCTGAATTATCTAGAAGATTATTAGTAAACGGACTACCACTAATAGAACATGGCGACGAATTCGAAGCTGAATAGCGGTGGTTGACAATCTTGTTCGAGAAAAAAGCAAACATATGCAGATTTCACCGTCTCGCAACTGGAAATAAGTTTTCTTTACCAGCCGTCTCCAAATGAAACGTTTCAATCGGTGTTCGAAATCCTTGATACCGTGATTGGTATGCTTCTTTTCGCTGGTATAGTGGGAAGTGTCGCCGACTTGGTGGCGACGGCGAACAGAGTTAAAACAGACTGGCAACAGCGAATGGACCGCCTTAAACAGTTTATGATGTACAGGTTAGTTACTTTGAGGTGATTTCAAGTACGTTCTTTAATGATTATGAAAACTGGGTGAAGTGACAAGATGGTTTAGGGATATCCATTCCGAGTTCCAGCAACGAGTTCTTAAGTATTGCGAGTATGAAATGTCGAAGATGGAAAATATGTCTGAATTAGAGATGCGCGACTATCTTCCGCCTAAACTATATATCCAGGTGTCTTAGAAACCTAATTTTTAACCAATTTTATATTTTTAGAGATTTTATCCCTCTTGCAACGTTCATGAAATGTCAGAAAGCCTCAGACGTACGCAATTGATGATAAAAACGTATTTGCATTTCAATGACGGAGTCCACACCATATTTCTACTAAAGTGCCCAGTGCACATGAAAGACAACGTGAAAGATGGATTGTATAGAAGAAAAAAAGTAATTTGGTTTAGGACTTTCAGGGAAGCCACTTCCTTATTGATGCAACGGACTTCCGAACTTCAGCAATGCGCCCATTGCAGGCTGCGCATTCAGAAAAATATTTCGTCTTCATGATCCAAGTGAATGCGCATCAAAAATGGTGCATGATTGAGCCTGTCCTATACGGAGGAAATTGATGCTAGATAGATAAGAAGAACGAATGAGTAGACCTAATAAGGATGAGAGCATCACCCAGGACGTTGACTTGCGTAATAAGTGATATGCATTCTTACCTCGATTGAATATAGTTTCGATTGTTGGTTAAAATGCTGCAGAGGTTAGGTTATGCTGAGGCATTTCCTTTAAGAAAAGAACTTGACAAGATTACCAACTTCTTCAAAACCATTAGCGAATTTTGATTCCTGTGATTATAAAATGAAAGAAATGAAAGTGTTTCCAGCGGTAGTGCATGAAAACCAGCCAGATTTTGGCTGTTTGCTTCCTCATGGAACTAGGCTGTCTTTTGCTTTCGATCTAATATTTGCGTCACTGTTTAGGTGAACAGATATGCACAGTGGACAGTTTTGGCGAAGTCTCCGTTGTTTAAGGTCAGTCAGGGCGACTGTTTATGCCTTGAATAAAAACGGCGTTAAGCTGGTATGATAATTCAGAGTTGTGAAGTGTCATTTCTAAAAGACGTTGTTGCCTATCTTAAGCCAAGGGATTTCGGCCCAGGAGAGGTGGTGTGTGCCAGAGGAGAATTGAATAGGGTGAGCTTGCTTATTTTTCATAAAAATCGTTGAGAAAATGTTTGCAATAAATTTGAAAAATTTGGTTTCCTCATCTTCCTCGAATAGGCGGAAATATCTGCAACCATAGCGAAAATAGCTTTGTCGTGGTGGACAAGTCTTATCTGCAAGATGATACACCTTTCTCCAATACACAGAATCCTACGACTCTCTCTATTGATGACGTAGGCCTAGCACAATATTCGCTATTCCAAGGAAAGCCTCTTTTAACCAGGGCTTAATATACCACTGAGGAGAAAAGATTGCGATAATTAAGCTACAGCTGGGAGATGGGTATTGAGAGACAACGGAATGAGGGAACGAAGTGGTGCTCCCCTGGGCATGTGAGGTCGCGTCACGAAACAAAGTGAATAACTTTTAAAAGGTATACCTCCTTGGATTATAAAGCTAACATAAGGTTGATAAAGATGTTTATTCGGCTATAGTTTGACGTCTTCCTTTCTGTCATAGCCGGTGATCATAAAAGATAGTCCACACTCGAACACATCGAGACATCTACCAAGTAAAACTTGTATAACAATCCGTGTAACTCCCAAGTCCGACTTCCTATTAACCTCGGCATTGATTGAATATATCTTTCTACTTCTGTTCAGCAAACACGAGGTGCTATTTTATTTCCTTATTTACGCACAAGCTGACGTTTCGGAGGATTTCGCCTTCCTCAGAGCCTGGAAGGGTTAAGTTGACAGCAATCCACTCGGCCAAACGCCTCCATGAACAAACAGAGAAAACGCTAAACCAAGATTTCAATCACATTGAACACAGCTTTGCACACTCACCGCTTTCTATGGGGTTTCCACTAAGTATGTCACGTAGAGACCAACCGCACAAAAACCACATGGAAGCATAATGTGCTCCTCCCATCAGAATAACAGTCATATATACTGCCCTATATCACGCGTGATAATGAGGCATTCTTTCCTAAGGTTCATTTCCGGATTTCTGGAATTAATCCAGAACCCGTCTAGAGTTTTGCGCGCTTGTGTTCTCGATTCTTGCGCGAGGATCGTAACCCTTACTTCAAAATCTTCTCCGTTATGTTTTTGCGTGCTATGCGTACCTAGTGGAGTACTTGGCTTACGTTTGCCGACTAGGTGTTCTTTTATACGTACGCAGAGTGGTCCACCCGTTTCGCCAACGTATTCGTCCCCGCACGCTTTAGAAGAGATCAGAAAGACTGTACCCGAACTCATGAAGTCACCGTCTCTACCATTGGAGCAAATTATGCAATTTTGGGTTGCACATAGACGGT